ATGGTGAATAGAAAACACGGATCCCTGGTAATCAGATTTGCTTTTGTAGGTGGAAATGAATCTTTACCTTTGGATATAATAATGCATATGATAAAGGACTGTATAAGAGTAACCTCAATTCTGGTGATACCTTCAGTATAATATATGACGGATATTGCAGTGTAAAGCAATGCCGGAAAACACTGTAAGAGGTAAAGAACTGTAAATTGTAAAGGGGCAATTAACCTTGGCGGAGTTTAACTGTCTGTACTGGAGTTTGCCAGGTATACTGTCCGTTAGCCCCATATACAGATCTGATACCAGTAATGGCTGCAAGAAGTCGGGATCTGTTTCATGATCTCATCTGAAAAGTGGCAACTGTGGCAAAATACTGTCTCTTGCACAGTGTTTGAGAATTGTGGATTTGGAGAGAACAGCAAAAGCAAATGGATCTCTTACAAATCTTTCTGTGTACCTAGGTTTTCATTGGTGGTCTTGTTACAAAGTGCTAAAGCTGCTTGGTGGGAGGTAGTACTATATGCTTGCAGGAAAAGTGGAAGCTTGGAACATGATTATAGCTGCTACTCAAATCCAAAATGAGGTGGGCCTGCAAAATTACTTCCACATGTTAATTTATGTTCCACTATAAGAAATGCACTATTAAGCCAAACGGTGTCTGGAAACAGCAACCTTCTAGGTCAGTGGTTCTCAACCTTTTTAGACTCAAATCACCCCTGCCGGCTCTGAGCTTTCACTAGTTTTTTTGACTACAGAAAAGTAATAGAAGCAATTCCTTGCCAAAACTCAGAAAATGAGTTGGAGGTCTGAGCAGTAAAATGAGGTGAAGGGTGGTGAAAAGAATCTAACCAGACCAGAAACTGCTGAAACAGGCTTCCGAAACAAGAGTCGTATATCAGTGGGTACAGTGTTTTCCTCTCTTTGCTAAGCCAGAAAGCTAGAAGCAACAACAGTCCTCACAGCTGACCTCTTAATAAGGAGGTCAGAATGCTGCTAACACCATGGATTCCCATTTGAGATCTGAATTTATCTTGTGAACCATGGTTGCACACCTAACAGTGCCAACATTGTATGGCACCCTGCAGCACCCTTGACGAGATCTCAAGGCACCTCCGGGTACTGTGGCGCCCTGGTTGAGAATCTCTGCTCTTAAGGTTGGGGGGAAAAACCAAAAATGATTATTTTTGTGATAGCCCCACCCTGGCCAACACTGAGACTACAAGGATGGCTCATGTTTAAAAGCCATCCATGGCCTGTCCAGCGAGTGTCTGACTTGCAAGATGGGAGGGGAGAGCAGACAGGCTATCCACTTCCTCTCTGTGTAGAATATCTACAGCATTCTATAAACAAGGGTTTCCTCAACTGTGATGCCCTAGATACAGGTGCATTCACCACGGTTTCTGTTTTGTTATGAATAGGAGCTTAGCTTCCTGGATTTCTCTAACAGATATCCAGTGCTCTTCACAGAATTTACTTGATCAAATTCCAATTTCAGAAGCTAGTATCTTTCTGTACGTGGATGTTGGCTCTGGGGAGCTTAATGCAGGGCAAGAAATGGCTTGGGGATTTTTTTAAAGTCAAGACAGGATCAAAAATGTGACCCGATTACCAGTTTGTCAACGGATAAAGGAAGTCTTCCTTGCTTTAAATGCTCATCTTTTCTTTAAATGCCCAAATGCTCATGTTGAGGGACTAAAAGCTTTCTAGTGCTCCCTGGAGAGAGGTGGAAGAGGGAAGGTTTCTATTCTAGAGGTCTAGAGAAAGGGAGGTCCTCATGTTAAACACTGGATGCAAAAGGGGAGAAGCCTCAGCAAAGCATTTGACAGCTCATTCATCCAGAATCTTAAGGTTTGTCTGCAGTGGGACTTTATGCCAGTATAAGATATGGTATGACTTTCAGAATGCCATAGGTATTCCAGTACTATTTCCCATGTGAACCCAGATACTGATCAGTATAGACGACTCTGTGGCTGTCAGCAAATCCATTTGTTTTAATACTGTGAGATTCTTCTACACTCCCAGGATGGAGATTAATCATTGATTACCCTATTTCTAATGGTGGGTAGCTTCATCATACAGGTCAGTCACAAAAAAGGGCGTAAGACTCCTGGCATGGGTGTGGGTAGGGGGAAGCAGTGACAGAGCAGGGCTGGAAGCTGTTAGGGTGCTGAACTTCAGAGGATGCTTCAAGTGGTGTCTGGTAGTCTTAAAATCCCCTCATGTGGAGGTGGGAATGAGGGCCCAAATAAGCTTCTAAAGATTTATGAGGAGGAGATGGGAGGAAGCTGAGC